GTGTAATCATCACCACATCCATAACCATAACTCTTTTCATCTTGTATAACTGAAACTCTGTTTCCATTAAATATAATAACTTCTCATTTCTTCTTTCTCCCAGCCCTTGGCAGCACCTGATGCCCGTCTGTAATTTTGATTGCTCTAGGTATATACACAAAAGAATTGAAAATAATGTCTTGTTATCAAGCAAAGGGCTTGCTGCCCAAATTTGCATATAAGCCAATACTGTGGCACCAGCTTTTGAGAAGAGAAAGGGCTTTATTGTGAGGTTTAACTGGCAAGGAAATGAGGAGGCGTGGCTCTCAATTCTGTCTCTTCATTCTGGGCTTTGGTGAAATGTTCATGAGTTAGAAGAAAAGGGTGGTTTGCAGAAGCCCTGGAGGGGCAGGTATCCAGGGCAGGGCTTTGGAGCCTGTCCATTTGTGGTGAGGTTAGGTTCAGTGGCTTTAGAACCAGATCTTCCTGCCCCATGGACCCTGCACTTCTGACAGGGTTCTGGTCACATCTGGCCCTTTCGTTCCGGGGAGGGGGGAAGCTTTGGTTCTGGGTGTTACTTGAGGTCAAATTTTTCTCTTCTGAGCATGCTTTGGCTGCATGACTTGTGGTTTTGTTCTGTTTGTCTCTGAAAAACAACTCAGTATCATCTTGTTAGAAACAGGATAGGGCCAGTTTGGGCTGGTTCTGCAATTATAGTCTCAGAGATATTTACATACCTATGTTCATAGCAGCATGAGCCACAGTAAGTAAAAAGTGAAAGTAATTCTTGTCCGTCAACAGATAAATAAGCAAAATGAGGTATGTACATACAATGGAATATTATTTAGCCTTAAAAAGGAAGAAATTCTGACAGATGCTACAATGTGGATGAACCCTGAGTAGCATGGATGAACAGTGAGCTGAGTAAAATAAGTCATATAATTTAAGCTTATTTTTAATGTTCTTCAAACATGAAAAACTATTTAAAATATTATATTACTGTTAAACTGCCTTGCCAGCAGGGAACATAATTTATTCAGTTCTGTGGGATGTAAATTATGATTTATAAATATCCATGAATATGCTGTGTTTTCTTTTGAATTTTTAGAGTTAGATATTAAACTTGAATATTCTAGACTTATTTCCCCACTCCTGAGTCTGATGGTTTACTTTTTCTATCTAGGAGGAAAGTTTTATTTGAATTTTTTAAATCCTTATTTAAAAATTAGTTCATTTTAATACATTATTTGATTTTTAATTTTAGTCAGATTATTTTATTAACCTTTTAAAATTTTTGAGTGGCGTACTCTTTTTTTCTTTAACAAGATGGATAGATATTTATCAAATATTGGATGAGATGGAAATGAGGTTTGTTTAATTCAGATTAACATGCTGCTTAATGTTAATTGTTCATCGATAGAGAACTCAAAGTGCTTATGTGGTTAAGAGTTAGAACTTCTAGTGAATGTTGGTTCTGCTGCTGACTTCCTTTGTGGCTTTGAGAAAGATCTAACAACTTCAAAGATTTAGTGTTGGAATGTACACAAAATAGTTTGCCAGAAGCATTTGATAAAAGGCAAATTAACCAGGTGGCGATTTTAAAAGACTATTTCATTTGATTTCATAAAATCACTTAATGCAAGAAGTTGTAAGTTATCTTTTTTTTATTAGTGAATAAAAACATGGGGTCCAGAGTCAAACTAACAGAGATTTAGGTACCTACCACCACTCTGTAATCTTGGGCAAGTGTTTTACAACCCTAAACCTTGGTTTCTACATCTGAAAACTGGTTTTCATAGCAGGTAATATTTATTTACATGTGCCAAGATTTCTGCTAAACTTTTTAATTTCAGACACATTATTTTATTTGCTTCATATAATCACCTTATTCAGTAAATGCTGCATTATCCTCATTTCACAGATGAGGAGCTGGGGTACAGAAAAGTAGGTAACGTGATTAACTTGGTTTGTAAATAATCTTCGAGCTGCAGATTAAATCCTGCGTCAATCTGTTCCCCAATTCTGATTCCAAAATTCTAAAGTAAAATTTCGTGATTATAACAACTTGAGGATAGGCAGCCATGTCTTCTGATTTTTTTATATCCCATAGCTCTTAGTATCATATACATTTGAGAGTATAGTATATCTTTGATATGTATTTATTGATTGTTTGGAATTTCTCTTAAAAAACATGTAGATTTATTTATAAAAAAATAATGGCCACTTTCTCTAGGGGCTCGTTCTTTCTATTCTTTTTAAAAGTTGCCATTGAAGGGTAATTTTAGGACTTTCATTCTAAGACTCTTTTGTCTTCATGCTGGTATTTTTTAAAAACAAATAAGAAAGCTATAGAGAAGGCTGACCTCTCAAGAATTTTTGTGTGGGGAATTACTTAAGGCATGAAAGTCCATAAACCATTTTTCTCTATTTCATTTTTTGTGTATTTTCAACAAACTGTACTTCCAGTTAGTAAAAGTTGGCAATTTATGTTTATACCAGGCCAAATTCCATTCTCATAAACTCAGAGTTCATTGGCCTTATTAAAGTCTAAAAGCCCTAATTGAGTATATTTTAGTAAAAATTATCTACTCAATTTGGGGCTCAGTTTACCTTAGAATATTTTTAAGAGTAGCATTTAAGAGTAGTAGGTTTCATAACAAATCCTACAACATATATCCTTGTTTTTAAAAATAGTGTGTATGATTTTATTCTGATTATATCAATAATATATCTGTGAATGATGCTGACATCCTAGTTAACCCTTTCCTCGTTAGAAGGTAATTCTGTAATTTTGTCAAATAGTAGAGTATTTAAGTTTGTATAATGTAGATCATTGTACATTTCAGTAAATTTATTTATAAAATCATTGAATTGTTAAAGTGAGTGAATTTTATGGTATGTAAACTGTACCTCAGTAAAACTGTTAAAAAATAAAACCATGCTAGGAGTTGACAGTTTTTTCAATTTTTTGCTAATTGGAAAACTCGGATGATGTAATTAATTTTCTTTATTTCATGCTGTGGCTATGCTTTGTTGCTATAGATAAATAACTGATTTACCAAAACTAATTTTTTTGTGAAGTATTTCAGGATGGAGAAATGTTTACTTTATTTTCTGGCAAAGAGCATACTTTCTTTTGTAATATAAGCTTGAAATTTATAAGACTCTTTTATAAAACATCTTGTTTCATTTATTTTTTTAACCCTCTTTTATAGACAGTTTGGATTATTTCTAAAGTTATAAAAAAGAATGGGTGTAAATTATTCCACATTGCTGATTGTTTGTTTACACTAGGTTACAAAATTGGAACGCAATAAGCTTGAAATTTATAAGACTCTTTTATAAAACATCTTGTTTCATTTATTTTTTTAACCCTCTTTTATAGACAGTTTGGATTATTTCTAAAGTTATAAAAAAGAATGGGTGTAAATTATTCCACATTGCTGATTGTTTGTTTACACTAGGTTACAAAATTGGAACGCATTATTTTTTCCATTGCTTTTTAAAACGTTGGTTTAACTTATCTATATAGCTTTGTTCTCATTTTAAAAAACAAAGTACATATGGACTCTTTCCAATTTATTTATTGTCTGCTTTTTCTTTCTTTTGGGTTTTGATATTATTTATATTTTAAAATTACTTGTTGGGACAGTAACGTTTTCCATGAAACTTATTTTTAGGAAGACTTTTGTGTGTTCTTAAAGATATTTGGTATGTGTCTTCTCCAAAGGAGAATGATCCATTTAAAAATTTGACTATGTCCTGAAAAATTATTTTATGAAAGCTATCTTGCAAGTCTAATAAGGGCCAACTTTTTTAAAGATCTAATTAAGATGTTATAGAGATCAGTTAACTAATATTTGACAACATCAAGCATTGGCAAGGATGTGAGGACCTAGAGACATTGTTGTAATTAAAAGGCACTTGAAATTTAAGAATTAATTGGGGTGGCTTGATTTCTCATTAGTTAAATCATCATGCACTTATTCTGTGACTTGAAACTATTAGACATTAGATGATGATAATAGTTGTCATTGTTACTGTTTTATATATACCAATATATAGTGCTTGCTGTTTTATCAGACACTGTCATCAAGACTTTACTTATAGCAACTTGTTTAATTCTATGATCCTATGAAGTAAAGACTACTGCTTACCTTGTTGAACAGATAAGGAAAATAAGTCACACAGAACTCACTCAAAAACACAGATCCCCAGGTAGACATTGTTCTTAACCACTTTATCATAATATGAGAACTGTTTTCCTTTTGTTTTTTCTTTTTTTTCCCCTTTTCTTTTTTAAAAGAAAAGATTCATTTTGAAAGAATTAAAAAGTACTTAGTATAAAAAAATGAGAATACTTACTGCTAGAAGGATAAACATGTTCTTCCATTTCCTTCTGTATTTCTTCCTTGTTTCCATTTTGTTATGTTTTTATGTTATTTTTATGAGTAAGTGTTATTTCCAGTGACTGACAGAATCTGATTACTGATGCTTTTTCATAGACTTCTAGGCAGTTAGTTCAAACAGTGTTATTTGAATTTAGTCACATAATCTTTATTAGTACTTTTTAATGTGTATGATAGTTTATATCACTTGTCCATTTGCATTGGTTACACATTTTTGTGGGAAATCTTTATCTGCTGCTTAAAAGATACGGAGTGTAAATATACTTCGCATTTCCATCTAACTTTTGAAAAATCTGTATCATTGTGACTCAAAATGTGAACTGTAATTTCACATAAGAATGCTAGTAGTTGATTAATTAATGACATATTAATATAAGTAAATAAAAATATTTTAATAAATTGATATTTGTTGAAGTAAGCACATGGTTTTATAACTTCAGTTGATAAATTAAACACACAAAAGGTTGTAAACATTGTAATAAGCTTATTATACATACTGAGAATAAAGTATCTCTCAGTATGAATATGTTTTGGGAGAAAAGTTCAAGGTATTGTTTTGTTTTTTTCTTAAATCAATTCATTCCCCCTCTTTGTTTTTATTTTATTTTTTAGGATTTTGGCCCCCAACAGTAATTATCAGGATATTGAGACCCTCTATAACTTCCTAATCAAGTATGAGGTAGGAGAAATATTTTTAAATGTTTATCATATTCCCATTACAGTCAAGTTTTAATATAAACAAATAGAGGTGTTCTAAACTGGAATGCTATTTAATTGCTGTTTACTTTAAGTTCTTAAATGCCACCAAAATTTGCCAGCGACACTCATTGTCTTTCATTCTCTTAAGTAAGCACATGTAGTAGAGACCTATACTAATACAACATGGAATTGTTTCCCATCAGGGATGCTGTTGGTATGCTGGATAGGTCATTTCTTCATTGTGTGGAATGTTGCAGGATGCTTCAACATCTCTGACCCTCGGATACTAATGCCAGTACTCTCTCAGTCATTGTGACAACCAGAAATACCCTCCCACTGCACCCAACTCATACACCCAGAGGGCCCCTAGGGAGGAAGAACCACCTCCGGTTGAGCACCACTGATTACTGAAAAGGAAAGCTATAATTTAGTTTTCTCCATAGCAGCAGCATAGACCCTGGAATTAAAGCTCTGATGAGGCTCCAGTGTATTTTGTAAATTAATCTGCATGCTTTTCTTATCCTTGTTGATCCAAGGCAGGTATTCTGTTGATCTTCTTTTGTTTGCCTAAAGTTCTTTGCCCATGTGCCCATATATTCTTTCCTTTTGAGGGTATGTGTGTTTAAGTTTAAAATGCTCTAAATATAGGAATATAACATATATTCAGGTGTCCCTTTTCTTGTGAAGTTGAACATCTTTATATGTATTTCTTTGCTTTTATTCCTGATTAGCTCTTCAACTTTTTTTTTTTAATTTAAAAAAACATTTTGGTCTGGCTCTGCTGGGTCTTTGTTGATGTGCAGGGGCTTCCTCTAGTTGTGGTGCACAGGCTTCTCGTCGTGGTGGCTTCGCTGGTTACAGAGCGTGGGTTGTAGAGCACAGGCTCAGTGGTGGAGGCTCCTGGGCTTAGTTGCTCCGAGGAGTGTGGAATCTTCCTGGAGCAGGGACCAAACCTGTGTACCCTGCGTTGGCAGCTGGATTCTTCACCACTGACCACCAGGGAAGTCCTCTTTAACTTTCTTATGCCACATCTTATATTAAGAACCTAGTGTTGAAGAACACAGACTCTGAAATCAAACTAGTCATGTTCAAATGTTGGTCTGCCTCCAGTTAAGTGTGTAATCTTAGAAGAGTTATCTTATTCTTCCTTGTCTCAGTTGCCTCATCTGTAAAATGGGAGTAACATAAGTAGGCAAATTACAGCTATTCTTTAAATAAGACTAAATAACTTAATATGGGTAAAGTGCTCCAAACAGTACCAGGCACAAAGTAAGTGTTCAGTAAGTGTTACTTTTCTTATTTAAGGAACGAATGGTGTTTATATGTACCTTTTAAAAGTTACCCTTAATATGCTCAGTTCAGTTCAGTCGCTCAGTGGTGTCCATCTCTGCGGCCCCATGGACTGCAGCAGGCTAGGCTTTGCTATCCATCATCAACTCCCGGAGCTTACTCAAACTCATGTCCATCAAGTCAGTGATGCCATCCAACCATCCCATCTTCTGTCGTCCCCTTCTCCTCCTGCCTTCAACCTTTTCTAGCATCAGGGTCTTTTCCAAGGAGTCAGTTCTTCACATCAGGTGGCCAAAGTATTGGAGTTTGAGTTCCCAGCATCAGTCCTTTCAATGAATATTCAGGACTCGTTTCCTTTAGGATGGACTGGTTGGATCTCCTTGTAGTCCAAGGGACTCTCAAGAGTCTTCTCCCACACCAAAGTTCTTAATGCTGTATAACCACGTTTATGTGATTATTAAGATAATTTCCTCTTTTGAGATGATTTGGTGAAATAATTATTTCATCATACTTTCTGAATTTCAATCCAATAGAAATTTATTTGGAGAAACAATGGGACAATTTAAAAATCCTATAACCTGGAAAAATCTGATATATAGGTCTTTTGGGGGTTTAGTACTTTATATTGCTGAGAGCATTGGGAGAAAATACCCAATTTGTTATTTATAAGAATATGTGGATCTGAGTCCCAGATTTTTAAAGTTATTTCTATTAGCAGAACTTCAACCCCAATACCAATTATTACATTGGATGTATTTTTCTCATAAACAGTGATAGGGATAATCTAAATTTTTTAAGATGTTTGGCTGTTACTATACTTAACCTTTGCTTCCTGATCTTGGTTTTTTAAGAATTAAGAATAATATGACCATTTCTCATATTTGGCACTCACTGTTAATAAGTTACAACTAAGAATTAATGATACCAATTCCATTTTACAGTCATAACTCTTGATGTTTAATGACAAGGGGTATCTTTTAGTTATTTGTTCTCTGGGAATTAAAATTGTGCACTTAAGCACAGAGATGATACTTAATAGTGTAATTTGAAACATCCTAATATGACTAATTTAAAATATCTTGTATCAAAACTAATGAAGATAGTGAAATGATATATTTCAGGCTAGAGCCTGTGATGTATGTCATGAATCTGTGTTTTAGTTTTCCTTTATTAGTAGGTTCACTGCCTACTTTAGAAGTCATCTACTATAACCTGGAGTCACATCACCCCAGCCATGTTCTGGGATAAGGGTTTGAATAGATATGGGTGATTGTTTTCAAAACTACAGATAAATCAGTTTTTTTTCCCTAAAATCTGCTAATGGCTTCAAGAACTTCTTTGTATTTATATTATGTCAAGTTCAAAATCAGTTCTTCAGCTGGTTTTTCTCAACAGTTGATAGAGAATAGAGTATTCCTTTTATCTTATGATGAAAGATCTGCAGTGTTGGCTGTTGACATTTGCTGGCCTAAGTCTGGATACATTTGTAGGTCCCAGCATGTTGGGGCAATAGTGAAAATATCAAAGGCCCTGGAGATCATCAGGGCAGAACATGTAGAAAAATAGGAATCAGACTGGTTGATAGGTTAACTCTAAGTGTATATCTTAAAACACTTTTAGAAGATTATTTTAGTAAAAATTATAAAGTACCTAAAAGTTAATCATGATAAATCATATACCACTTTCTTAAATCATTAAATATAATAGTAAATATTATGTATAATTAAATAACATTGAACTATATATAAATATAATCCTAATTTTCAGCAAAAATTGAGGGTTATATATATTTCAAATTTATATTTAAAAACTATGTTTAAAAAACAACAACTGTATGTTTAGTAAATGGAACATTTTCTATACAGATATGTTGAATTTGTTATGAAAATACTGAAAGAAGCTCATGGAACTTGGGAATAAGCAATGCCCTAAACTCTCCAGGAGACTTTCATGATATAACTCTTTAAAGTAGTGTTAATTAAGTCAATGTAGGAACATTTTTCCTCATCAAAAATGTATATGCTAATAATAGCATGAGTATTTTTAAAAGTAAAGTGAATAGATGATAGTTTCATTTAGTTTCCCTTCACTAATTCAGAATTTCTAAAAAGTTAGACAGTATGTTATTTCTTGAGTAATCCGGGGCTAAGGGCTAAGTCGCTTCAGTCGTGTCTGACTCTGCGACCCTATGAACTGTATCCCCCCACCAGGCTCCTCTGTCCATGGGATTTTCCAGGCAAGAACACTGGAGTGCATAGCCATTTTCTTCTCCAGCGGATCTTCCTGACCCAGGGATTGAACACCTGTCTCTTACGTCTCCTGCATTGGCAGGCAGGTTCTTTACCACTAGTGCCACCTGGGAAGCCCCCCTTGAGTAATCTGATTAAAAGAAATTCCTTCTACAAATTTCCAGATTCTTCCTTGCAGCATAAGTAAAATATTGCCTAAATCAGTGGTAAGTCTCAAGAAGTACAGGATACCTTCACTGTGTTCTCCACATGTGCCACAGAAGTTTTTGTATGATGAAGGACTTTTATTTTTATAGTATTATAAATTGTGAATTATAATAGATATTTATAAACTTAAACATTTGTTTAAATATGTGGACATTGATAGAAAAACACATTTCTTTAGAAAGTGTCTATAAATCATCCATTTCCCAAAACAGACAGAGTTTTCCACACAGTTTATTACCTTAGTGTTTAAAGTTATTCAGTAATAACTTTCAGAAGGGTCAACAATAGTATTCAAATGTTGTTAGAGTTGACTACTTAACTTTTTCTTTCAGCTTGAATTATTTCTAATGTTCATGAAATAAACAAGATGTGGCTGATTCTTCTTACAACAGTCTACCTGTATGACCCAAATCTACTTTAGTCCTTTAGGTATAGGTATTAAATGTTAACAATTTATTTACTTTTCCCAGAAAATAAATATTGAATAAGTATATTAGGACTAGGCTAATTGATGCATGAAATCTGCTGATAAGAGCCAGTAATAGTAGAATTTGATGTTGCATGTATTATACACATTTTTTTCCTGTCTGTCTGATCTCTAAAGTGATCATCTGCTTTGTTGGGAGTCCCACAAATCCCAGGACCATCTCACTTCTTCTGGTTCTGTTAATAGATTAAGTTGTAACAATAGGACTAATATTTTTACACATAGTTCAGTGTTAAGTGTTATGTTCACTGAACTTCTAATTGTCATTATTTAGTCCTTTTTATGCAAAAGCTAAAAACTTGACATTCTCCTCCTTCAGGATATGGACCATTCTAATTGTGCTCTCACCTTTCATTTGACTTAATATGTATTTTTAATAGCTATATCTTGATTCTTTTCAGGTAAATAAAAATGTCAAATTTACTGCCCAGGAACTTTATGATTGCGTTTCACAGGCTGAGTATCGGTAAGTCGTATATGTATGTATAGTCATATATATATGTATGTCATATATATATGTATGTAGATATATCAGTATAGCACTGCTTGGTGGTGGTGAATGGTTCTTTTTATGTCTTCACTATACTATGATTTTTTTTTTTAGCCTTTATAAATGTGAAATAGTTCAGACATATAAAAAACTATGTATATATGTATGCACATAGCAAATTTAATTTTTAAAGTAAATTCTCAAGTTTAGGGACGTCAAGGCTTTTTTATATTTTTCAAAAATATTGAAGACTCAGCCCTAAGAGCTTTTGCTTATGTGGGTTTTATCTATCTGTAGAAATTAGAATTGAGAAATTTGTAATATTTATTCATTTAAATAAGCTGTGTACAGTTTTCTCTGTTCATCTGGCATTTTCCACTAATGAAATCGTATATAAGAAAATAGGAAAGTTTTGTTGTGCTCAAATTGTTCTTTAATGTATCAATGCTGTTACAATAAACTGTGTTCAAAACAAGAGCTGTAGCAGAACTGACTATTCTCACTGCTGTGTAATATGCTACTGTATCACTTACCAGTTTATTTGCTATTTATAATTTGCAGATATATTTGTGTAGCTACAGAATTGTATGAGTGGACACAATGACAAAGTTAACTATCAAGGTGGTTCTACTGGTAAAACTTTAGATATAAATATGTTTGATGATATCAAGACCCCAGAACTGATAGTCATACACAAATGTATGGCAGCATAACTATGAAAATTCACTCATTCACTAGATTAAAATAAGTTTTCTAAGAAAATCTGAAGCCAGTTAGGCATGCATCATCTGTTATAGCTGAGAATGAAAATGATTTTTTACCCTAATCTTCAGACTACCAGTTAATCAGTTATGTTATTTATGGGCTTCCGTGGTGGCTCAGTGGTAAAGAATCCATCAGCCATTGTAGGAGACATGGGTTTGATCCCCAGGTCGGGAAAATCCCCTGGAGAAGGAAATGGCAGTCTACTCCAGTATTCTTGCCTGGAGAATTCCATGGACAGAGGAGCCTTGTGGGTTACAGTCATAAAAGAGTCAGACATGACTCAGCGGCTAAACAACAATCGACAACTCTTAGATATAGATCATTACAGATAATATGCATTTAAAGGTTTGTATACTTGAGATTTGGATCAAAAATATAATGTCTTCCAGTCTTGGCAATATTTTTGAAGGTGTATAAAGCTCCATATATAACTTGGAGGGCAGAGTCCCTTGCAGGGTGGTTCCATTAAAATGTCTAAAATTATTTTGACTTCAGCATACTATTTAAATGTTTGTGAAGTTTTTTTTTGGTATATTTTGTTTTGGAGAGGGGAAGGATGCAAGTGTCAAACTTAAATGTTCAAAGTTAAAGTAGTAGTACCTATTTTTCTCTTTGTTTTCTTTGCACTTAACGATGCCAAGAATTTGAGCTTTGATGTTAATTAATAAGCTCCCTCTTATATCCTGAAAGGGTGATTTTAAAGAGAAATCCAATATGTCTAATATCTTGAATGCATTGGAAAATGGCAGTTGCTGTTCAGTGGACTTTTAAAGTTAATAGCTTTTAGATTTGTTACTCTTGTTTTTTTGAAATTATTTGCTATATTTTCAGTGAATGGTACCTCCCATCTGAACCTCTGGTATACTCCACAGCTCACAGTTTTCAAGTAAGTTGCCAGAAGACAGAGGTTCTTTTTGTTTCAGTAGTTCATACTAGACACAGAGCCAAATGCAATAGATAAGAGGTAGCAAAGCTTCCCTGGGACTCAGAAGTGAAAACGGAAGAATGATTTAACTTCACTATATTAAGAAAAACAATTACTTAGATTGTCTGACTTTGCTAATCTTTGTTTTTGATTTGTGACATGTTATTTGTGAAGGAAGAGGCTGTTGATGTGTCTAACATCAAATGTATTGCAATAGGGAAGAAATTAAGTAGCTCAAGAAGAAAACTATTTTATAGGTTCTGATAAGGCAGGTAATTAAAGTTTCACATTGAAAGTGGCTTGGACCAGAATTTGAATTCCATGACACAGCAGAACCTTGGTGTTTCTGTGTATACATCAGTTAGTGTTTTCTCTCTTCTGTAGTTTGTAGATTCTTTGTCCTAGTTTTTGCTCTTGCCAGTGGGGTCTGAGCACTGCTTACAGCAGATGAGGAGTTTGCTCAGAAAATCCAGGATGGTAAATTAATAAGATTATCAAATAAATTGCTAAATAAATATCTTGTGTGATATCCTCTATTGATACATATATGAAAAATTAGTTAGCAGTAGTGTTTAATTCACTTTGCTTGACCTATAAATTCTTGACAGAATGTTCTGGCATGTTCACAAGACAAGTCTCTAAGGTCATTTTTTCTGTGTGAAATGCACATTGGTTTGTGACATCAGCTCCTTCAAGTACCTGGTATATCCAAATAATATGCTGCCTAAGGCACGAGTATCAGGAACAACTTTGTTTTCCTTATGGCAAGAGCTTTCCGGAATTACTGTTTTCTGAACTCCAGGGATCAGCTCTGTGGTAGTATCACCTTAGAGCTCTGGTTCTCTGAAGTGTGGTTCCTGGAGCTGAGTGTTAGCACCATCTGGGAACTTGCAAGAAATGCAAACTCTAAGACTCTAGCCCAGACCTTCTGAATCAAAAACTGTTCATATACTGTTGTTATATGCACTACATTGTATTCCATTTTCCCTTTACTTGAGATGCACATTGCAAGTGTTTAGAAAGATTAAGAGAGCTGTAAAGCAAATAGCCATTGTACTCTTTTCCTTGTACCTAGAAAGGATTTTGGAAAAAATACTGGAAGTAGGGCACTTCAATTCACTACTGCCATGCCACTTTGACAAAATTAGCTATGGAAATGAATCAGATAACTGCTGCAGTTATTTTTTTATGGATTTGATCAAATTTCTGCTTATTTTGACCCATCTTGAGATTTGGTCAAATTTAGTTTCAGACTCATAATAGGATGATTTAGAAAATCAGTGGCAGTTCTGTAGAAATCTCATGAACAATACAGAATTGCAGAACTAGAAGCAGTCTCCAGTCTTTAGCTTTGTTCCAGAAGGGCTTAGGAGTTGGGATTGTTTAGTTTGGCAAAAAAATAGGACCACCTGTAAGGGACATAAAATATCTGTACTATTGGAGGAAACAGGGATAACAACTTCTTGTTTTGTTTTAATTTAGGCAAACAGCTTATAGATTTTTTTTTTAAGCCCAATGTAAAGAAAGAACTTTCTAGCAATTAAGAAATATCAGAATAGGTTATAGGCTTTCTCTCAGTTGTAAATGTCTAATCTGCAAGAGGTAAAAGCTAAGGTGAAATAAGTCATTGGAGATGCTACAGAACAGTAGGCAAAGGTGTTAAGGTACACAGTATCTAATATTCTGCTATTCTGCTTCTAATCCATTGGGGAAAGGAACTCAAAAATTCCTATCATCATAGTCTGGTATTGGCCAAACACACATGATGGTGTGTTTGGTTGAAACTAGAAAAACATCTGATACTTTCCTCAGCAGCAATGACAACTTGATGCAGGAAGCAAAATCTGTAGGTGATAATCCATATTCAGAATGCTGACTCACACAAATAAAGAAACTAAATGCCACTAGGATGAAAAGAGGGCATAGGGCTTACCTCTTGAGAGGAGGAAAAAGAGAAGAAAAAAGAAAAGACACCAAAATACATTAGAAGTCTAGTTATTAAAAGTTTTTTTCCACATGTAGAATAAGTAACCAAGAACAGAAATAGGGACCTACCCTTTTTGTTTATTTCATTTTTAAGTTTATAGGAAAACATTTTACATCTCTCCTATTTTGGATCTCTTAGAGTCTTCTGAAAATCATTTTCTGAGTAGTTGTAAAGAACTGGCAAGAACATAACACTGATTCTAAGCACTCCAAATATAGGAAATAGGCCTAGAGTAACAGAGTCAAAAGCCTCACCACATGTTTTCAGGAAGTGAGGCCTCTCCAAAAATATAGTGTATTTACTTTGCTGCCAGTGTTAGCTCTCATCCTATTCCTTCAGTTCTGATTCACTTCTTTTCCCTTTGTGCCCTGCCTCAGGGGATCCATGGGTGGGGGAGGAGGGGTAGTGTGCTAAGGTAGCTAGGAGTCCTTCCCAATACCCTGGAGGTGGCTCAGAGCAATCTCAGAAACCAAAGAAGTAATAGCAGTGTACATGCTGCTTAGTTGCTCAATTGTGTCTGACTCTTTGTGGCCATTTGGACAGACTCCTCTATCCATGGGATTTTTCAGGCAGGAATACTGGAGTGGATTGCCATTTCCTCCTCCAGGGGATCTTCCCAACCCAGGGATCGAAACTGCATCTCCTCAGTCTTCTGCATTCAGGCAGATTGTTTACCCACTGAGCCACTGGGGGCTTCCCAATAACCGTGTAACTTTCATAATAAAATAACTGCTGTTTTCTGACGCAGTGCTGGATACTGGGTATCCTTCATGAATTTATGCAGACAACCTCTCAGATTTAAATGGGTTTCCAGGGGATTTGAACTCTAGACACCATGTATAATGGGTTGGTACTCTAACTGATGACTTAGTGATCCCACAGTTAATAGGCCTCCTGTCAGCTTTTGAGATTCAGCTAAGCTTAATCTTAGATACAGTTATGAGTAGTTGGGGCAAATATCAGGTATTTACTACCTCCTTCCTCACTTCTGGTTTAGAGTAGTTAACTAGTATTCATTTGTTAATGGCTAAGTTATCAATTCTCTTTTAAGAGTCAAAGCTGTCAACTTCCTGTCCTCTGTCCAGCGTCTGTTCCTGTCTGGAGTTGTGTTCTCTTAGAATCCACTAGTCTTGGGACCTTTAACTCCCAAACCAAATAAAACAAAAATATGTGATCTACTCCACAGTGCTCTTATTGGCAGCAGGTCTTCCTTGGAAACTTTTATTCATGAATTCAGTAATATCCCCAAGATCGTCTCCATGATGACTGTCTAAGAATTGCATTACTAAGTTGTTTATCCTCCCATGTTGCTTGGTTCATTGGAAGGACTGATGCAGAAGCTGAAACTCCAATACTTTGGCCACCTGATGTGAAGAACTGACTCATTTGAAAAGACCCTGATGGTGGGAAAGATTGAAGGCGGGAGGAGAAGGGGACCACAGAGGATGAGATGGTTGAATAGCATCACCAACTCAATGGACATCAGTTTGGGTGGACTTCGGGAGGTGGTGATGGACAGGGAGGCCTGGTGTGCTGTAGTCCATGCGGTCGCAAAGAGTTGGACACGACTGAGCAACTGAACTGAAGAAACCATTTCTCTAGGCATTTTTACTCTCAAATATCAAATAATATATTCCAAATCCCAGTGTTCTCTTTTTGTAGTGAGATTTTTTCATTTATCTGGCTGACTGTCTTATAGTCACATAACGTTTCTTTCTCCTCTAGGGAAAAGTTAAGCATTGGATGCCGCCAGCTGATTGAGATGGAATATACCATGCAGCAGTGCAATGCCTCTGTCTGTATGGAGGCCAGAAACGGGATGGTGTGAAGACATGGTCAGCGATAGGACCTGAGTGCCGATCTGTAACTTAGAAGGAACTGTATTTGTCTTCAGGAACAACAGAGTACTTTTCAACCTTTTGTGCCAAACGCGAGAGGCTTGCAAGAAATCTCATAGGTATAAAAAGATGATTGCCTAATACTGACAATCTCATTGAGCTTCTGTTGCATCCATTGTGGAATAAATCGTTGACTCAACTCTTCAGAAGTTGACCGTAACTCCCTACCTCTACTCTTAATACTGAGCCAACATGACTAGGAAAGGAGAGCCATCTTTACATCTTAGGGCAAGAGCCACTGTGGGACCTGAGGAAGGCCAGGGCACAGCATTCGCATCTCCCTCAACCCCAGATATGGGTTCGTGACCAGAGACACGTTCAAACCTCAAGAAAGAATTAGGGCCTGACCATGCTTATCATATTCCACAAGAGAAATCTTACCCTGGGCTGTTTTCTGATCCGACTGTCTTCCATGTAGACCTGGTGAAGTAATCACATCCCTTTCACTTCCCCCAAGGTAAGGGAAGTAGAACTTTTACTTCAGCTCCACTCTGCAGTAGCCTCTTCTCTTCCCCACGCGTGTCACCCTTCAGTGAGTTTCTAATGGGAAGAGTGGGCAGACCCCTCTCCCCAGTTTCCTCTGAAATGTGAAGCAGCATAGATTTATGGGATCAGGTGGTAGTGGCTGATGTTTGCCCCTAGCTAAACCAAGTGTTTAATTGACTTATTTCGTTATACCATAAACTGGAAATCCTTGTTTACTAAAGTATATTATGCTGTTAATACATTTGAGTAAATATGATTTAGTATTCTATTACAAATGTTTATTTTTTTAAGCAATAAATTATTTTTAGTGATTTTGCTTTTCATCTTACTTCCAAATTTTGTTTCTGAACTATGTAGAGGTATGACTATAAAAGTGACCCTCTGATAAAAGAGAATTATGTGAAGTGCTCACTATCAGGAAGAAGGATTTGATGAGTTTTGTTTGCATAGAAAGCCACACCTCCTCCCAGGGGCTCAAAGTGCCCTCAGAGAAATGAGCCCTTGTAGAAGAAGCTTCCAAGGCATCTCTGCTGTCTTGTCAGGAGCCAAGAAAGCATCCCTTTGCCTTAACAAAAGAGCTCTCATCAGATTTTTCTTCCTTAACTACTTCTAGTTATTATTGCATTTTGCTCTGTTTGGGATTGTTTGGTTTTTTTTTTTGGTGGTGCCTCAAAGTTTGCAGGATCTTAGTTTCCCAACCAGGATTAAACCCAGGGTCATGACAGTGAAAGCAGAGACCTAACCGTGGACTTCATGGAACTCGCTGCTCTGCTTCATTACCTCCTTTTTCCCTTTTATCTTTTTAATATGTTTTACTTTTTAGGAAATTTCTTTTCACTCTGGTCATGACTTATTTCACCCTATATATGTGGATTTTAATTTTATCCTAGTCTTTGTGTCTTTCACTTTCTGCATTGTCAGTTTTCAACCTTTTATTTAAATATTTATTATAAGATGTGAAAGTGTTTTCTTCTTTCTAGTCTTATTTTTATCTTTGGCAACATTCTTAAAAATTTTTTTAGTGTTTGTTTCTTTGAAATGTCAGATCTTTTTTCTTTTTTGTTGCCTTTTCCTGATTTTACACTTTCTGCTTTTTTCCCCTGATAGTCCATTGCAGGAGTTGAGGGCTTCCTTTCCTCTTGTCCCCTACTTTTTTTCTGGATCTCCTCTCTGGATTGGAGTAACTTAGTTGATGTAACAATCATTTAAGCACTCCCTTGCACAGAACATAAATTTGTTTTGATGGGAGATTATCAGATCTTTAGAAGAACTTCAGGTTTTAAAATCTCCATTCAGTATGGATAGCTGTTGTATTTTGTTTGGGCAGAAGCTTTATATGCATGCTGTGAACCAGAGGGGACTGATGAGGAAAGTCCAATGAGGGGAAGAGCTCTCTGTGTAATACCTTGCCTTAGTGAGGAGCTGTGATAACTGAGACGCAGCACCCAAGGATTATTCCAGTAGGGTTGGAACCATCTTATACCAGCCTTTCCTAGCTCACTTCCACAGACCGTCCATCTCCTAGGAAGGACCTGGTTTGAATCCTCTTGTTTGCAGCTGCCATAAAGTGAAGCTGGCTCAAGAACGTCGTGTCCTACCGGGTCCTCTCGTTAGGACCTGCAGTGGGCAACTGGAACTGCACACGGTGGAACTTCTCAGACGAGTTCATTTCACTTTTCTAGCATTGTCTTTGCCTGTCATATGAAAGACAGGGGACACAAGACCAACCTGAAACTTTACTTCCTTGATCTTTTGGCCATCATCTTAAAAACAGAAGTCCTTGCACCCTTCCAAGGTTGACCCACTATTATTTAGTGTTTTGGTCTCCCGTAAGAGCCTAGTTCTTAACAGTTCATATTCCTGATGTGACATCTCAAGTTCACCTACCTTTTGGAGCCTTTAGCTCCTACTGACTCATCCCATGAATTAGAATGAATTTACCTCTTTCTTCTAAGAGGGAATATATCTCACTATTGAATAATGAAATGCATCTTCCACTGAGGGATGCTGACACCCGTACTCCTTTTCTGATTCAGATTGGATCAGATTGGACAACCCATTCTCCATCCAGTTTTAGGCTATTTTGCTTAAAAAAAAAAAAACAAACCCACTCCAGGGAAAACAAGGAGCTGCATGAGCGTGAGCAGTATCCATAGCTGTGAACCAAGAAAGGAAGGCGAGAAGACATTCAAGTCTCAGGTGCCGCCACGGTGGTAACTGGGATCCAAATTGAGTCTCCTAGCCTGTGCAACTCGATTACAAACTAATGGTTGTAGGCGAAACTACATTAATTTGGTACATAACCCTTGCATGGCCAGAGAATGAATGGTTCCCTGATGAGATTTCTAGTCAGGTAAAATACTGACATGTCCTAGCCTTTTTTAAAAAAGCCTTTTCCTTTAAAGGTTTGGTTAAGCTAGAAAGATAGCACCTTTCCAAGTGTACAATTTTTAGTTTTGTCAGACACCATCACACAGTCAGCAGTGTTCACCTGTTACAAGTTTCAACCGCTCCTTAAAATTCCTTGGTGACTTTCTGTAGCCAACTCCCACCCCCACCTCAGGAAGCCACTGATGTCTCCTGTCCATGTAGTACTTTTCTGGAATACTGTGTAAATGGAGGCTTTTCACTTAGCATGAGGCTTCTGAGGATCAGTTCGTGTTTTATCTTGTTTTTATTTCTTAGTATTTCATTGTATGGATGTACCCTTCTAACCATTCACCAACTGGTTGGATATTTGAGTTTCTAGATTTTGGTGATTATGAATAAAACTATTATATTCATACACAGGTTTCTCTTAAGAACATGTTTTCATTTCACTTGGATAAATACTTAGGAATAAGGCTACTGTTGCATAGAATATTTAACTTTATAAGAAACTGTCAAACTTTCCAAAGTATATCATTTTGCTTTTTACATTTTCCTAATGATCAATGATAGTAAGCACATTTTCATGCTATTATTAGATTCCGTTTATCAGTGTCTTTTTCCAAACCTTTTGCAGGATGTTTCAGTTCATCTCTTAAATTTCTCTGATTCATTACAATTTGGTATTCTGTGTGCATCTTTTTCCAAGCTAAAATTATATTAGTCCCATTATTCTCTCTGAGCAAATCTTTTGCCATCTATTCAAACATATGCCTTTTTTAGATTCTTGTATTCCTACAAGATAACCCTAGACATACCCAGCTTAATAACTGAACTTTGCTTCTCACCCTTATTCAAACCCCCAATAGAGAACTGAGCTTCTAAGAGGAGCCTAAACATTTTGTTAGCTATTGTGCTAGTAAAAGCAGCCATGACATGCACTTGAGCACATCCCTCTCTGTATATACTCTACTTACTGTTCAGTTATCATTATTGTCTTTAAGACTCTTGAGAAATTTCTGGTCTTTTATGAAGAAAACTGGTACTTCACAGTTATTTTACCTTCAGATGATTTATTTGGTGGGTCTGCTAACAGGCCCAAATTTGTGGCTTGGCCTTACTAAGTATATGAGATTGATACAGTGATATTTCGTTGTTTTTCTTCTTTTTCACCCAGCTGATTTACCCAAATATAAGTCTCACCCAGTGAGAGACTCTTCAAAATCTTTTTTTGAAACAAAGGAAGACACAAAAAATATTATGAAGACTGTTTTCTGTGACTCATAGTCTTCTCTAATGGCAGCTATGGAGATGCAGTAATATCCTATAGAGACTTTCTCCTTTGCCTAACCCCTTAAATTTCATAGGGTTTTTATAGATTATAGGGTATACTTGTCATTCAGTCACTAGTCATGTCTCTTTGTGACCCCATGGACTGCAGCATGCCAGGCCTCCTTGTCCCTCACTAGCAAGGATTCTAGTACTAATCATATTCCCAAATTCTCTTCCCTAAAATATGATTATGTAAGGAATATTCTACATGTTGTAAATGGTAAAATATGTAAGACTCTATACTTAGAGGCCAAATATCAAAGCCCTATCCTTGAAAATCACAATAAAAGAAAATTCATACTTGAGTATAATCAATTGTTTTGTTAATTCAAACAGGTATTTTATAGTTTTTCCTATTGTTTTAGGAATTGGGTATGTTTCATGCATTATTACAATTGATTTTAAGAGTGGTTATTGATCAATATCATTTCTAAACTACTCCGAAACCCACACTGGTAAAAAACAAAAACAAATTCTTTAATTTATGCTGAAGCTATGCCATTTTCTCCTTCCCTTAAAAAAAAAAATTACCTTTTAAGTGCAGATAAACAGGAAAAATTGGTCAATGAGCACTTTTTTTTTCCTTTATGGAAACTTCTTATATTCAAAATATATTTAACATAATTTTAGCTACCAATGGCATCAATGGTAATATGATAAAACTTTGACCAAAGTATTCCCACATATTATTTGCATTAAGCATGTTACCTAGGAATTGAGAAGTGATTTCAAGGGTTTCATAGTG